TAACCCGTTTGTATTTTTGTATCAATTTATCTTAATTATAATAAACATATTTAGGCTGCAGTACTTCTTTCATGTAATACTATATGGCATTCAGAAGATAAAATAAGTTCTTCTCTCGAGAAGATTAACCCATTAGACAACATGTATTACCTAAACAACCAGAAGGAACAAATAATGCACTTTCTTTACCAATAAGCTTTGCTGCATAGTCTTAAAGTTCTTATACTGCTGGATCATCGTTATACACATCATCACCTACTTTTGCGGTGTACATGGATTCTCTCATTTTTAGTGTAGGGTATGTCACTGTATCACTTCTGAAGTCGATATGCTATGGATTCAATTCGTTAAAATTTACGTTTTGAATTTTTTATTTTATTTATATCTTTAATAAAGATATTTTTTTTAATTGTTGATATATTTTAATTATTATATGTTTATATATTTTATAAAAATTTTAAATTTTTAATAATTAGTTTAATCAAATTATTTTTTAAAAAAAGTTATTTAAACTTATTTATTTAATATTATATTGAATTTATATAAATTTTATATTATCAATACAGATAAATATTTTTTTTATTTTGAAATTATATTTATATCCGATTTAATAGTAAATATATTAAAAAATATTTTATAATTATTATTTATATTAATAAAATTATATATAATATTTATTTATATAAAGAGTAAAATATATTAAATTATTTAATATATATAATATAGTGTGCATTTTTAAACGTGTAATTTATTGAATATATATTTAATTAAATTTAACTTCGTTTTAAAATTATATAGTGTATTTTATACAAATATGTATTTTTTTTTATTTATTATAATAATATAAATATATATATTATTAATTAAAAATTTTTGTTTTTAAAAAAAACACATAATTTTAATTTTTTATAATAACTTTTATATTTATAATTTGTCATATAAAAAATAATAAATAATACATTAATTCAAATTTTCATTTCAGAAAAAAAAGATAAAATTGAATTAGATTAATCTTTATAAAAATATAAAATAAAAAAGCCTTAACATTAAAAAATAAAAAATGTCAATTCACAACCCATTAATTAAAAAACACCAATACAACTCAAAATAAAAGAATATAAACCTCGAGAAATCGAATGCAATTCTCTAAAACATTTAAATAATAGAAACAGAAAATAACATACAAATAAAATATATCCCAAATACTTAAAAAATACAAATAAAATTTTAAAAAATGTATGAATAAGTATTAGATTTAATAAATAACTTAAAATATAAAGAATTAGAAATAAAAAATATAGAATAAACATTAGAATAAATAAATGTAATAAATTCTCTTTTTTGCTCTTTGCATAAAATATTGAATTAATGCTATTTTTAAATAAAATAAATTAAAAAACATTCATTTGATATTTCAGATTATAAAAAGCCATATTTCTAAACACAAAGTGAAAATTTTCCAATATAAAACAATTTTTAAGAAGAACATATTTTTTATAAATTAAAAAAATAAAATAATACTTCTTTTTGTAAATAAAATACATTTATTTTAAAACAAGAATAAAATTTCTTATAAAACTATGATTCTAATTTTTAAAAAAAAATATTTTCAACATAGTAATTAATGTAAAGGGTAAATTCTGTTCTTTAAAGGAGTGATAAATACTTATAAGAAAACAATAAAAATAAAAAAACCATTAAAAGAGATTATTCCTATAATGATAGTAATGATTCTAAAAATTAGTAACCAACTCATTTAATTAGTAAATTTATTTAAAATAATCATATTAAAAAAGAGAATAAAATTACAAATAATAGTCCTTAATAAAATAATAAATAAAATTTAAATTTAATTAATATATTTAATAGTAACAAACTTAATGAAAGTATTAAATCATAAGAATGTAATAATATAAATAATTATAACAAAAATAATAATTAAAACTATTTATAAAATTTTGCTATAGTCTAAAAATTGGGAGAAGGTAAATTTTCGGAAGTTTATTTTGCTGTGTAAAATTTTTATAAATATATTCTTTATAAATTACATTTTTTTTTTAAAAAAAAAGTGAAAAATACACAAACTTTTTAGTTTGCTTAAAAAAAATAAAAATCGAAACAATAAAAAAATATGGTACAGAAAAAGAAATAGGAAATGAAATAAAAACATAAATGTATTTAACACATCCAAATATAATACAATTATATGGATTTTTTATTGAAAACAATTTTCTTTATTTAATATAAGAATTTACAGAAGGAAAAAATCTTTTTACAGATTAAAAGTAATAATAAAATAAAAAATATAAGGAGATTTAAGTAGCTAATATTATTAAATAAATACTTGAAACCTTAAATTTTATGCATTAAAAAAATATAATACATCGAGATATAAAGCCTGAAAATATAATTATAAATAACGTTAAATATATATTTATATTAATTATAATTTTTTTTAGAAATTGTTAAATTAAAAAAAAGGAAGTAGTAAAAATATGTGATTTTGGATATGCAACATTTCTTAATTGTAAATAAAATAATTTATGTGGGACTCTTGATTATGTAAGTCCTGAGATGATTCAAGGAAAAGATTATGATTTTTCAGTTGATATTTGGAGCATTGGAATTCTTACTTTTGAATTGCTTTTTGGATTTGTGCCTTTTTTCGAAAAAGGTGAAGAAGAAACTTTTAATAAAATACTTAATGTTTTTTATTTTTATATATTTTTTTTTTTTTCAATTTTTTTTATTTTTAAGGAAAACGTAGAATTTCCAGGAATTGTTTCTTTCGAAGCTGTAAGTTTTATTGAAGGTTTATTATAAAAATAACCTGAAAAAAGAATGAAAATTTAAAATGCTTTAAAACATTTGTTTATTATTAATAATATGTCAAGTAGAAATATTGAAAATAAAAAAAATTAACTTGATTTTGAAGATTTTAAGGTTTTTTGAATAAAAATATACTTATTTATTAAATATATGTATATTTATGATGTTCTATATTTTTTATAAAAAAAAAAATTATATATTTTCGATTTACAAATTTTTTTATTTTTTTAAAAAAATCTTTTTTTCTATAAAAATTAAAATTAATTAAATATAAAAAGAAAGAAAAAAACGAAATTAATGTAAGACGAAAAAATTGATTTTTTTAACAAAGCAAATAATATAATATCAAATTTAACAAAATTAGAATTTTTTACAGAAGGAATTATAAATTATTTAAAATCAAAATAAAAAATAAATAATCCTAACCAAAGAACATTAGAAGTCTTATTTTTTTTCGAAGCAATTAAATTTTATTATAAATTAAAAAAATATAATCAATTTTCAAATAAGTAAATATACATTTCAGAAGATAATCCTTACTTATAATACGAGGAATAATTAAATAAACAATCAAGTATTTTTTAGAAAAATTTTACTCAAAATAGCTCTTTTGAATTAAAAGATTAAAATATTGAAGATCTTAAAAATGAATTAAAAAATTCTTTGGATATAATCAAATAATAAGAGCATTAAAAATAAGTATTTAACCATGAAAATTTAGATAATTTGAGAAGATCTCATAAAAAAATTACTTTAATAAGCAAATTTCCTATTCCAGACATTTTAAAAAATTTAGATTAAGGGAAATAAAGTAAAAAAGTATTTTTAGGAGAAATACTTTTTCTATTCAGGCCTTTAGTCTATTGTATTTTTTAAAGAATTTTCGGAATCAATTCCTATAAACCTTATTTTATTTCTCTTTTAATAGATTTCATAAGAATTATTTTGTAAAGGAAAATATTTTTTAAGTAACATTCTTAAAAGGAAGAGTTTAGAAAAAGAAACAGAGAGCTATTAATTAATTATATGCTTAGAAATCCTTTTTATACGAATATCTTTAAATAAAAAGTTGTATTGCCCCTTATTAAATCTATTTTTGGAAATAAATTCGTTTTCTTATAAAATCTAATAATCAACATTATCGAAATGAGATGTTCAATAAGTCTTTAGCTTTGATTTTTTTATTTCGTGCATTTTTAGAGTATAGTTTAAATATTTTTTGTTTTTAATATAATATTTTTTAGTATTTTATTTAATATTGATATTTTTTAATTTTTTTTTCTTTTTTCAAAAGAAACTAAATCTTAATTTTATTATTATTTTTCTTAGATAAAACAAATCTAATTAAATTATATTTATATTATAAAATTTTATAAAATAAAAAAATAAAAAAAATAAAACTTTTTTATGTGTGATAATTGTGTGCCTAATTCTCATAAATTTTATTAAAAACTTTAACAATATTACAAAGTATTCATGAATGATGATAAATTATAATAAGATTAAAACATATAAAATAAAATTAAAAATTTAAATAAATTTTAAATAGAAGAAGAAAATATCATAAAAAAGATTTATCCATATATAAGTAAAGAACAAGTTTATGTAAAATAATAAATTATGAAAATAAGATGTAAACCTATTTTATAAGATTATATTTCATGCTCAAATTAAAAAAATAGAGTTTGTGTAAAAATATATTATAAATGATATTATAAGATAATATACTAATTTTTTATTTTTTGTAAAATCAGGATATAAACATAATTGAAAAATGCATTAATAAAACAGAAAAATATTATTAAATTATTTGAGTTAATTCTTTTAAATATATAAAATTGCAAATATCTATTTTAAATTTATATTATATTATATTTTAATTTAATTTATAATAATTTCTTTTTTTAATAAAAAATATTTCTTTTGAAACAAACTTTTAATAAAAGACATTGTAATTAACTTTACAGCTCTTTTAAATATATAATAATAAATTTATTTAAATAGAACTTTCGATTTTGTTTTTAAGCAAATAAATTTTTACTTATAAAAAATATTGTTTTAATAAATTATATTTATATATAAAAATTATTAAAATTTCAAAATTTTTTATATTTAAAAAAAAATATTAATAATATTATATTTATATTTAATTTACATATTTAAAATTTATTAATTATTACTAAATTAATTATTTAATGAAATTATAAATGATTGAGGAAAAGAAATATTTTATTAAGTTAAATATTATTTTTTAATTTTAAATATATATTTTAAATTATAATAAAAATATTATATTATTTATAAATAATTTTTTTTTTATTTATTTTATATTATAAAAAATTAAATAATGTTATTTTTAAATTATCAAATAAGTTTTTCAAGTATGTAATTTATATTAATTAGAATATTAATAAATTTTAACTATGAGTTTTATAATTTAAATAAAAATATTCTAATAGAAAATAATTAATTTAAAAAAGTATATATAAACAAATAATAAAGAAATAAAATAAAAACATAAATATTAAGATATGTTAAATAAAAATTCTATGGAATAATATTAAAAATTTATAAAAAAATATTTTAAAAATAAATAATTCATTAAAAAATTAAAAAATAAATATTTTGTTATCTAAATTAAAAAGATATCTAATTTAATAATAAAAATAAATAAAAAAAAGGAAATGTAATAAAACATAAAAACAATAGGTTGGATAGGAACCGGAGTAATGGGAAAATCAATGTGTAGTCATTTAATGAATTCCGGTTATAAACTTAACATATACAACCGTACTAAATCCAAAGCCGAAGACTTAATAAATAAAGGTGCCTAATTTTTAAATCCAATAGAAGTCGCAAAAAATTCTGATCTAGTTTTCCTTATGCTAGGTTACCCAAAAGACGTCGAAGAAACAGTTTTAGGTCCATCTAGTATACTCTTACATATGAAAAAAGGATCGATATTGATTGACCATACTACATCTTCCCCTTAATTAGCCATAAAAATAGCTCAAGAAGGATTAAAATATGATGTTAAGAGTATTGATGCTCCTGTAAGTGGAGGAGACATAGGCGCAAGAGAAGCCAGATTGGCTATTTTTGTAGGAGGATAGGAAAATGCATTTAATTAAATTTTACCAGTCTTATAAAAATATGGTACAAATATTTAACTTATGGGAAATAGTGGGGCTGGATAACATGCAAAACTCACAAATTAAATTTTGTTAGCGAGTAATATGTTAGGAACAGTTGAAGGACTTTTATATGCACATAAAGTAGGATTGGATGTAGAATAAGTTATTGGAATTATCAAAACAGGAGCTGCTTCTTCTACTGCTTGGAGTGTTTTAGGTACTAGAATGATTAATAGAGATTTTGATGTATTTAATATATATATATATAATATAAATTATTATTTTTTAAAATTTTATTTGATATAATTCAAAATATAGCCGGGATTTTATGTTGAGCATTTTATAAAAGATATGAATATCGCTTTATAAGAAGCTGAAAAAGCGAATTTATGTTTACCAGGGCTTGGACTTGTAAGATAGTTTTATTAAGCTTTAGTAGCTTAAGGAGGTGCATATTTAGGGACTTAAGCTATTATTAAGGTTTTAGAATAAATGAATGGGTTCGAAGTTCATAAAAAATAAAAAAATTGATTGTATAGGCTATTTATTTTTCATGATAAAAATTTTTTTATTCATATTTATTCATAATATATACATAAATAATTTTTTTTTTATATATGAATAAATAAAATATATTTTTATTAAAAAATAAATTCTATAGTTAGTCTATTCATTGAAAAAAGTATTTATTCAGACATATATTGTATATATTTAACAAATTTAAACAAAAAATTATTATTTTAATCAAATATTTATTTTAAATTTTTTAATAATTAAAAATATTTTAACTTTTCAAGATTTTTGTAGAAAATTAATTATTTTTTATATATTAATAACTACTTCAATTCAAGTTATTTAATTTACTATGTTAAAATTTAATATATCCTATATTGTAAATTTTGTATATTCTTTTTTTAATTTTTAACATATAATCATTTTTTTATTATTTTAAGTAAATTTAAATAGACTTTATAATATTTTAAGTAATGATGATGTATTTTTTCATTTTTAAAAATAACTAACTAAGTTATAGGAATAAATAAATAATTGATAATATAATAATCTTTTTAAAACATAATATTAAACTGATATTCAAAATACAATATATAAAAGTTTTACAACTTTACTTTTTTATTTACAGAATATTTTTTTTATTTTTTTAAATAAAATACCTTTATATTTTTTTGTCTTTAATATTAATAAAAAAACAATATTTTAAAATCATTATAACTATTTAATTTAAATAATAAATTTAAATTCTTATAATTTTAGATAATTTTAATCCTTATATACTTGTTTTACTTATTAACTTATAAAAAATATTTTCTTTTCTAAAGAATAAATATTTTATTTATTTGTTTTATTTTTTAAATATTTTTAATTTGTAAATTTACAAAAATCTAAAATAAGATAATTATATTTTTCAGATATACTTTACATAAAAACGATTAAGTAATTATAACTTTAAAACTATAATAAAAAAGTAAAAAAAAAATTTATACAAATACAAATCAAATATATAATGTTAATAAAAAAAAACTTAATGTATTAATATATATATCTAATTATATATAATTCTAATTTGTTCGATTAGCAATATATTTAGTTAAATTTTATATAATATCTAATTTTAGTTTAATTTCAAAATATTTAGAGGGAATAATTTATTAAAATAATAATTTTTTAAAAATATAATAATATAATTTTATATAAAAACTAAATTAAAAGAGATAAAAATCCTTAATTTTAACATTAAATTCTAATTTTAATAAATGAAAATTTATATTCTTATTTTTTTTCCAATTTAATTTTTATTTTAATTTATATATATTATATATATTTTTATAATATTAGAATGATAAAAATATTAAAAAAATAAATAAAAAAAAAATAATTTATATCTTTATAAAATTTTAAAATAATATCATACAAAAACTAAAAAAAGTTAAATTATTATTTAAATAAAAATATAAAAGCATAACCATAAAGACTTAAAACATATAAAATTTTAACTTTAATGAATAACACAAATAGTTAAGATTATATTTTAAGTAAAAAAAAAATTAAAAGGAAATTAATTAAATATATAAAAAAAAAATATTAATATAGATATATCAGTAAAAGAATATGCAGAACTATGCGAAAATAATAAAAGAGTAACAAGAAGAAATACAACTCAAAAAGAAACAATAGTATAAAAAGAAACAAAATAATAAAAAGATTAAAAGTAAAATATAACAAGTAAAAATTAAAAAATAATATGTATATATATATATATATAATATATATATATATATTATTTTATTACATATATATATTTATATATATAAACCATATATTAATTTTTTTTAAATATTTTAATTATATATATAATTTTTTTTTTTTCCTTCTTTATATAAAATTAATTATATATTTATTTTTTAGACCTTGAATAGCCTATTTTAAAAAAATTAAAGTAAAATTCTGATATTGATATATAAATATTTTAACAAATATCAATTGTCCATGATGATTTTTTAGATTAATTTTTCCTTAACGAATTTTATTTGCGAGACTTAAATAATATTGAACCTCGTTATTTAATTGATTCCTATGTAAAAATTCTTGCAGAATCATAAAACTTATTAACAATATAAAATGCTTACATAGTTGAAATAACCAAACAAAAAAAAAGAATGTTTAAAGTTTAAAATGCGACTAAATCAAAGCTTTCATAAATTGTTGAAAACCTCAAATAAGATATTTTGATATTAAAAAATTTTGCATTTATTCATTTGGATTTATAAACATTTAAATAATACATTAAACCACATGATAATTCTAAATATTAATTCAAAGATTTTATTTTATAAAATTAAGAAAAATTGTATTGGCCTTTAGCAGTTTTTTCTCTTGTAGGACCACAAAAAATAGATTTAAAAAGTATATTCGGAGAATCATTTTACCAAATATCAGATGCTCAAGATATTTTTTAATTTGGAATTTTTAATAATAGGAATTAAGAAAATGAGTTTGAAGAAAATTAAGAAAAGCATACTAATTCATTCACTACAGTATAATATAATACTATAAATAACTAAACATTTAAAAATGAAGAAGTTTTAGTTTGGTTTATTGGAACAAATAGATATTAAATGTAATTAATTATATATAAAAAAATGAATTTATATAAAATTATATATATATTATTATAAATATAAATATATATATATTTATAAATATATATATATATATATATATATATATATATATATATATTAATTAATATATTTAGATTTAATATACACTTAATACTTAAATTTGAAGAAGTCTCAAGTAGCGAAATAATTAATTAATTTTAAAATACAAAAATGTCTGAAATACAATCATTATATTTAGAATTGATTTAAAAATATAACGATGTTATATCTAGAAATAAACAAGTTTATATAAAGCAAGAAAACGCAAAACAAATGTTACATAGAATTGTAAAAGTGAAAAACTTGAAATAATTAAAACGCAAAAACATAGTTCTTCCTTAAAATAATCCTCAAATTGCACCCACTATATATTACGGAATAATACTTAGAGTTTAAGAAAACTGCAACAAAAACACTTCATTATTATTGAAAAATTTAGAAACTAAAAAACTTATATGGAGTGATTTAAATTAGGCTGACTTAAATATTTGGACTTCTTTAAATTTTCCTTAATTGTCATAATAAGAGCTAAAATATAATTATATACTTGACGTATATAAAGAAGAGCACGAGGATGTAAAAGAACTAATAAAGAAGTATTTTTTGAAGTCTTTTTACGAAAAAAATTAATAAGGTGAAGAAGCTTCTATATTATTTAATGCCTTGAAAAAAATTAATAAATATACATTTGATAATATGCCATTCGAAATGAGAAAAAAAGAAAGATGTGCCCAATGTAATTATATTCTTTATAATTTAAAATTTACTGTTTGTTAATATTGCCAATTGTATTATCATGCATAATGCGTTTAAGATTAAGAAAACGTAAATATAAAAATATTTATATATAAATATATATAAATATATATAAATAAATATAAATATATATATTATATTTATATATATATATACTTATTATTTTTATTTAATTTTAAAAAATTTAATAGTTTGTGTGTGAATAATGTAGACCATGTACAATTTGTTATGGAAAAATAAATAAAGACAATATTACATGTTGTGAATGTAAATCTAGATTTCATAAAAAATGTGGATTCTCAATAGCCCATGACTTAAGGATTGTAGATAAATAATATGGAGTTAAATTATATTGCGAGTCCTGTGTAAAATGCTGTATGTGTGGCGTTAAATTACTAAATGCAGTTAATGGATATTAGTAAAAATTAATTTGTATTAATATTTTTTATTAAAAAATTTTTAAATTATATATAAATATATATATATAAATACTAAATTAGATTTTAAGATGATTAAATATACTGTAATGAATGTATTTAATAATTAGAAAAAAAAGAATATTGTCCAGTCTGTAGATAGTTTTGGTAAAAAGAATGCACTAAAGATATGGTTTAGTGTTCTTGTTAAATGTGGATACATAAAGAATGTGACCCTCATTTGAAAAATTATAAAGAATAAGCAATTTATCATTGTCCTAATTGCAGAATAAAAATGAAAAGAGTCATTTATTGTTAATTTATTAATATTTTATCTCAGTAACATTTTAATCTTTATTTAAACAAAAGTTTAATTATATATATATTTAAATATAGTCTTGATTTCCAAAAATTCTATACAAAAAGTGAATTCGAAAAGATACCAAACTACCTAGAATCAATTAAAAATCCTATAGACCTTGAAATGATGAAAACTAAAGCCTCCTAAGGAGAATATGACGGAAATTTTTCTTATGACCTCCTTTTAAACGATTTCCATTTATTAATAGAAAATGCTTTAGAATTTAATGCCCATAATCACGAGGCTTATAAAGAAGCGGCTAAATTAAATCTTTTGGGAAAAGTTGCTTTTTAATATTTTAAAGAAAATCTTTAAGTCTAAGAAAATCAATTAATATTTACAGAATGTAGTAATGCAATATAAATTAAAGAAAGTAAATTTATGGAATATTTATGTGAAAATTTCCTTGATATAGTATTTAAAGCAAGTAAAGAAGAAAATAATTATTTAACAAAAATCATAATTTCTGGAAAACAATTAGGAATGGAAGATAATATTTTCAACTATAATCAATTTATAAGAGAAATCGTTAATTAAAATAACCAAATAACAGTTTCTTTTCCAAACATAAATAAATTACTACAAAAAATTTTATCAATGTAAAAAACTTTACCTCAAAATATATCAAAAGCCCTCTTTTAAATTTCTCAAAATCAACTTTTTGAAAAAACACTACAGGATTTATATTAAGATAAAAATAATGAAAAATCCCGAGAAAATCCTCCTAAAAAAGAAACTCAATTTTCGCTTCATTAACTACTCCAAACAGAACTTACTCAAAATCTAATTAATATCCCGAACTAAGAGTATGTAATAAGTAAATTCACAAATTAAAATTTAATAAAAGAATTCTCGTGTATCCTGTGTGGTTCTTTTGATTATAAAGATCATCTTTTTTATTGTTCTATATGTACTTAAACCTACCACCCTTACTGTTTAATAAAACCTGGAAAAGTAGAATTTTTCAAAACGAAGCTCGAACTATCCCATTTTTCTAATAAAGAGAATAAATGGGTATGTCCTCCTTGCAAAACATGTAAAGTCTGTCAAAAAGGACATATTAAATCAGAAATTTCTCTTTTTTGTTAAATTTGTGACTGTATGATACATGTAAATTGTGAATTCAAAAATATCAATTTGTACCAAAATAAAGTAAAAATTCAGAGTTTTGGAGGTGTAATAATTGTTTTAATTGTTAAAATGTTAAACTAAGGTTATTTTGGATGAAAATTTCAAATAGATTTAAAAAAATCAAAATTTGTCATTTAATTTTGAATTTTACAGAGTTTTTTACACTTTGTTATAAATGTGGATATTTGGAGGCCTTTAAAAGATTTTGTAAAATTTGTAATAAATACTGCTCTTCCATATATACTAATAATTAGTATAATCTATTTCAGAAAAAAGGAGAAGAAAAAGCTATTAAGTTAAAATATTTAGAATTTGATGAAGAGGATGAATAAATGTATAAATGTGAACTTTGCAAATTTGTTTATCATAAAAATTGTCTATAAAATACTATGCCTGAATTTTAAAATAAACCTTTCTGTTTAAATTGTAAAGAAAATAATCCTACTTTTGTACAAAAAGAATATGAAAATTACTTAATTAATATTAAAGTTAGACTCATTCATTTAAGGAAAGCTTAAGAAATATACCCTTTTGTATAACCGATTGTCTAATAATTAGTTAGATTACATAAATTAACTAAAAAAGATGTTTAAGATTTTATTGTTTAATATTTAAATTATTTTGAAAGTGAAAATGTAAAAAAAAAAAAAAATGTAAAAAAAAATATATGTTTTTATAGTTTTAAAGTTATAAAAAAAATAATGAACTTTATGAAAAACTTGAAAATATATTTTAGGAATAAGATAATATTTCATTAACATCATATTCAGTTTAACAAATGCTATAATATAATCCAGAAGAACATTAATAATATTTTTTGGAGAAAAAACAAAATAATTATAAAAGGAAACTATTTTCTTTATAAGAAAACTGCCTTTCCTTTTTAAATTAGGACTTATCTCTTTTTGTTTATGATAATGTTTCTAATTTAAAATTAATTCTAAATTTAATTTAGAAACCTTTAAAATTCTTTAATTATTCTCAAAAATATGAATTTGTCCTATTTTAATATGGAAAAAAATCAGAAAAATATGATTTCATATATGACTCAAACGGATAAATTTAAGTTTTTTTAATTGAAGATTAATTTACTCATCCTCTATAAGAAATATATCCTTAATATCAAGAAATTTTAAAAATGGCAAATTAACGATACTTACAAAATATAAATAACTAACTTGTTTGTGAAGACGAAGAAATTTAATACCAGAATTAATTTGTTGCGTTTTACGATTATAATATTTTAAAATGCTATTAATCTCCATGTTAAATTACATAGGAAATTATTTAATAAGATATTTAGATTTAAAAATATTTCTCGAAAAAACGTAGAGTTAATTATTTAGTAGAAAGTTAATAAGATAAAACATAAATAAAAAAATTCTACAATTTAGATGCTTTTAAAAGAAAAAATCTAGCCACTTGCATAGTTTATATTTAAAATTAAGAATACAATCGTAAATTTTTATTTATTTATAATTTATTAAATTTATTCATTAGATTTAAATGAAATTAAAACAAACTTTAATGAGTTTATTTAGAAAAACTAATTAAGTAATCAAAATAATCAACTAAGTAAGTAAAAAGAAATGATTATATAAAATTCCAATAATTTAAAAATATTTTAATTTATATAAAAATAACATTAATTTATTATTTTACTTATAAAGCAAATAAAAATATTGAATATCAAGAAGAAAAAATATAGCAAATAATAAAATAATTCAAAGAATTTAAAATACGTAAAAAAAAAAAAAATTATAAAAAAAAAAAAAATATATATATATATATATATATATATATATATATATATATATATTTTAGAAAACCTTTAAAATGATGTTATAAGTAGTCCTATAAATGATATTTTATGCTAATTATGTTAATTAAGTGGTCATCGAAAGTTAAATGGAAGATTATTAAATTTCCATATTGACTAATGGGTCCATACAAACTGTGTATTATGGAGCAATGATGTAAGCGAAAGTGAAGATGGAGGATTAAAATTCAGTATATCTTCTCTTAAAAAATCATAATCTAATTATTGTAAACACTGTGAAAAATCAGGAGCTACCGTTTTTTGTGTAATATCGAATTGTAAGAGTAAATATCATTTTCATTGTGCTATATAATCTAAAGGATTTTTAACAAACTAAAAAACATTTTTATGTACCTTTTGTTGGGAAATAATATTAAAAACTAATGATAATAATATTATATTATAAGTAAATATAAAATTATTATAAAAATTTTTTTTTTTTTATAAAATAAACAAAATTAATAAAAGCTTTAAAATATAAAAATAATTAATAACTTTTAAACTGATAGAAGAATGTATATATATTAAAATAAAAATGAGAATTAAACAATTGATTTAGGAATTGATTGTTTTAATAAATTTGGAAGTTTTGTATTAATAGATTTAAACCTTGATTGTGAAAATGAAAATTAAATTTTCTATAAATATTTTTTTATTAGACTTTTTAAAAAATAATACTAAAAAACAAACGTAATATATAAAAAAAATACTTTTTATATAATATGAATATTTAAAAAAATAGTTAATTTTTATCTAAATGAAAAAAAAAAAAGATTCCTATCTTGTTAATACCGCAATTTTTGATGAAAATCATCCTTTAATCGAATAAATAGCCCTAAAACAAAATAACATACAAAATAGCGAATCTATAGAAATAGAAAGTAGTCAATAATCTCTAAATATAATCAGTTTGATTTCTGAAAAGCTTATTTTTACAGGTAATAATTACACATAAAGCCAAGTATATTCAGTTTAAGAAATGAATAATTTAATCCAGGAAAAAACGCAATTATAAAAAACAAATAATTAAATGAATAATTCTGTCATAAAATACATTGGATTCGACATCCCTTAAATAATAAAAGAAATTCAAAAACATAATTAATAACAATAAAGTTCTTTTAAGAAAATAAAAAATTAGAGTATAACCACATTCAAAGAATTATTTTATAAAGATAATATAGAGTAAATGAATTCATTCGAAAAATAAAAATTATTGGAAAAAACACATCAGATTTTCATCTAAAATTTAAAAACTAAAGGCCAGTAAATAAACTCAAATATAATTCCAGAAAATATTCCAATTCTTTAATCTTTTGGGTAAAAAAAACATGAACTTCAATCCCATTTTTCGAAATAAAACTAAAAATCAGAACTCAAAAACAACTTATATATAAGGCCTGAAGATATTATGTAGGAAGCCAACCCTAATTATATGAAATTCGATACCAAATAAACATTAAGAGAAAAAGAAATAGAAAGAAAAATAAAATAAGAATATGCTAATTATATTGCAGATAAAAAAAAACATTTAAATTTATATGCTGGACCTTCTAAAATACATAAATATGGTCTATTTGCTAAAAAACAGTATTTTAATATAAATATTAATTAAAAAAAATATTTAAGTATATTTGTTTAAATTAAATAAAATAAAGTTTTTTATAAGATGATATTGTAATTGAATATTTAGGTGAAACAATAAGATAAGTATTAGCAGATTATAGAGAAAAAATATATAATTAAAAAGGTTTCGGAGATTGTTATATGTTTAAAGCTGGCCCTAATAAAATTATAGATGCTACTTTTAAGGGAAACGAAGCTCGTTTTTTGAATCATTCTTGTTAAGTAATTTTATTTTTAAATTATTTATATAATTTTAAAAAAGCCTAATTGTGCAAGTCAGGTTATTGAATATGAAAAAGATACTAAAATTATTATTTATGCTAAAACGGAAATTTAACCAGGTGAAGAATTAACTTATGATTATTGTTTTGATATAGAAGAAGAAAAATTAGTATGTAATTGTGGTGATCCAAAATGTACTGGAAAATTAAATTGAATAAAAAAAAACAAAAAATATAGAAAAATAATAAAAAAAAAAATTAAAAATATTTTTATAAATAAGAATTTATAAATATATATAATAAAATATATATTATATAAATTTAAAATTAATTAAAAATATTAATAAAAAATATAATAATTAATAATAAATAAATAAAAAATCTATTACATATTAATTAAAAAAATAATAATAATAATTAAAATAATAATTAAAAAAATAAATATAAAATAATTATAAAAATAATTATTGAAATAAATAAATAATAATAATAATAATAATAATAATAATAATAATAATAATAATAATAATAATAATATTAATTAAAATTTTGATAATCATATTGTTATTAATATAACAATACGATTATTTTTTTTAATTTTTTAATTTATAATATTTTTTTTTATTTTTAAATTTATCATATTTAATTATAACTTTTATTTTTTAATTTATAATGTAAAAATTTTTTATAAATATGTTTTATTTATTAATAAAATTGTTAAAAATTATAAACAAGCAAACTTTTCTTTATAAATATTTTTAATAAAAATTATATTATTTAAAGGTTTAAATATTATTTTTATTTAAAATTTAAATTTATTAATATTAAAAAACTTATATTAAATATAAATATATATTTATATATTTAAAATATAAAAATTAACCTAAATAAATTTATAAAATATAATATATAAAAATTATAAATTTATTTTGTTATTAAAATATTTTTTTCAATATAAATATAAACATTGCTATAAAATAAATTAAAAATATTATTAAGAAATATATTAATAAAAATATATATTTTTATACTAAAGAAATTAATTATTATTTTTTATTATTACTTTATTTATATATAATAATAAAAATATGATATAAATAAAAAATTAATATCAAAATCAAATAATTTTATTATTAAATTTATTATTTATATTATTAATTATATTAAGTTAAAAAGCTAAATCTTAAATTTTTACTGGTTTAGTTATAAATCCATCCGCTCCTGAATCTAAACATTCTTTTTTATCTGATTCACATGAAAAAGCCGTAACAATAATAATTTTTTATTAAAAATTAATTGATTTTATTAACTCTGTAGCTTACAAACCACTCATTACAGGCATATTAACATCCATAAAAATCCAATCAAAGTAAAAATTCTAATTATTTTTAACCATTTCAACTGCTTGTAATCCATTATAGGCTTCAAATACTTGTATTTTTTTTTAAGAATTTGAAATTAAGAGTGTTTTTAATGCTATTATATTGAACATAGTATCGTCTACAATTAATATTTTTTTATTTTCTAAAATCTTTTTAATAATATTCAAGCCTTCTTCTTTTGATACTATTTCTTCCGGTTTTTTTATAAAACATAACTACTTTACACTAATTTTACATTAGCAAAATCATTCATCTCTAGAAAGTCTTTATTTTTTTATTTTAAACTAAGTTTTATTGCATATTTGAAGAAGCATCATTGGAATTAATATTATTATGTGTAAGCTTTTTATAACTAATTTAATTATAAAATTACTATGTAAAAATCGGAGGAACTATATTGTTTTAAACATCAAACTCTTAATTTATAGACGAAAAACTATTATTTATATTAATACTTGTCTTTTAAAAAGCTTATTTAAATAAAAAACAATTAGAATCTATACTTTTACTTATTATATCATTTTTTTTATATAGATTCTTTTTTTCAAGATTATTACTAATATAAAAAATAGAGTTTTTTTTTAATTTTTTATATTATTCATTAATTTAGTTCCCATTGATAGTCTTTGTTTAAATTGTTTAGTTTATTCAATTTCCCTTTTATATAATGTCGCACTTTTTCTCTATATATTACGATATATATAGAACGATATTTTAGTTCCTTAATTTTCTATTGATTAAATAAATATTTTTGGTTGAGGACCCATTTTTTCAATTAAAGATTGGCATATGGAAAGACCAATTCCTGCTCCTTTAATAAAATTTAATAAAATATTTATATATATATTAATATAAATATATATATATATATATATATATATATATATATATATATATATATATATATATATATTCATTTTACCTTATTTTTTATCAAATATACTATTTTCTGCTAAAAGATTTTTCATTTAAAAAATATTATATTAAACTTCTTTTGGTATTCCATTTCCTGTATCTATAACATCAATTTCTATAACATTAGAATCAAAGCCACATTCTCTCATTGAAAGTTTTATGTGACCATAAAAAGTAAATTTTAAAGCGTTTCCTGTTAAATTAATTAGTATTTATTTAAATCTTTAATAATCTGTATTAAAAGTTGTATTTATAAGTTCTTCAATATCAATTATTAGTAATAAGTCTTTTTTGCATATTTGAGTGTTAAATAGTTCTTTTATTTCTTACAACATATCCTGTATTTAAAACTTTCTAACAAGTAATTAGAAATCTCCCTTTTGAATTTTTGTAAAATCTAATATATCATTAATCATAGAAAGTAAAAGTTCACTATTTGTATAAATATCTTACAAAATAAAAAATAAATCTGCTTGATTTTTTGGTACTTATTGCAAAACACACTAAAGTAATAAAATAATTCCATTTAAAGGTGTCTTTAGATTATGAGTTATTGTAGAAAGAATTTTATGTTTATGTTCTTCGATTGTATTTTGTCTTTAATTCATTACTTTTTAAGAAATGTTATTTAACACTATTAATGCCGCATCTTTATTATCCCATTAACAATTTACTATATTTAAATCAAAATATCTTATGTCTTGGAATCCATTTTCATATTTCGTATTTAAATAAATATCCGGTTTTTATTCTGTATCTAGATAATTAACATTTTTAATTTTTAATTTTTCTAATATAATACATTTTAAAGAAGTAGTATATTATTATTGTCTATTATTTAAATTTATATTAGCATTATTTGTAATATATCTCTAATAATTATTATTCGAGGCAGTTTTTTAAAATTTCATATTTATAATTGAGTTGTATTTAATTAGGTCTTTAAATAAATCAATTCTTTAAATTATTTCATTTTCATTTTTAATATCTAAATCTTCAATACATTTTGAATTACAGAATTAAATTTAAAGTTCATTTTAATTTTAGGTGCATACAAAAATGCTACATGGGATAATATTCTTAAATAAATTTCGGAAGTTTTCATTTATTTTTACTTCCTTATGTATATTATAAAACCTATTTCGGACTTCTTTTTCTTCTAAATATATACAAGCACAATACATGAATTAAATAACTAATAGAATCGGATTTACATATAATCTTTCGATTCGTGAGCATATATATTCGGACATTCCTACGAAAATAATGAATTTAATGTACCATTTATTGATATTAGATATTATTACTTGCAAATATACTATATAGGAAACTGAAAATAAAATGGTTTTGCTTTCTATATTATATTGAGGATTTAAATACCAGAATTCTGTTAATAAAATTAATATAACTAAATTTATTGAATAAGTAATTATTTATACTATACGAAAGTATTTTTAGCTAAAAACATATAAAAGTATCATTAATATAATATTTATTCCCATTATTATTTGAACTTATTTTAAATTAAAACAAAAAATCATCATAATAATAAAGGCGCTAATTTTTCCAATAATTTAAACTAAGAATATTTAACGTAAATATTACATATTATATTAATGTTTGAACTCTTAATATTTTTATTCAATATGGCTTTGAATAAAATTAAGACTAATTATATTCAATAAATTATTTTAAAACATATTCAATAAATTATTTTAAAACATATTTTTATTTTATGATATATATATTTAATTTTTTATATTATTTTTATATTAAATATTATTTATTTTTTTTTGATATTTTTAACAAAAATTAATCAATTATGTTTTTCATTTTTTTAATAAATAAGTAGGTATATTAGCTATCATTGTTCCAATCTCATATTATCCAGGACAAGGCATAAATAAATCCTATATATTATGTTTATATCTTTAAGATTAACTAAAACTAAATTTAGGTGATTAAACTAAACCAAAACTAGGATTATATGAACCAGGCCCTGGTACATAGTTTTTATCTTAATAAGAATATTTTCCTTTAATTTTTATCCCTTTATAATTTACTAAATATATATATATATATATTATTATTGTTATTATTAATTTTATTTTTTTATTTCTTTTGAAAAAAAATTACTTTAATTGTTTTATTCAACATTATATTAACCAGGGCCAGGAAATTCGACTTTATTTTTTTCTTTACTTATATTCAATTATGAGCAACGAGTTACTTTGGGTTATTTACCTATAGTAGTTCCTAAATTATAACTAGAAAAAAATTATTTAATATTCCAAAAAAAAAAAAAAAAATACTCTCCTGGACCTGGAGATTAATCATTTTTGAATAAATCAGCTCTATTTGAATATCCTAAACCTCTGTTTCTATATATATATATATATAAATAAAGACAAACAGAAAAATAGAAATATTTAAAAAATATATATATTGTTTTTTAATAATAATAAAATAATATTATATAAACAAATATTTATGTAAATAAATATACATAAATATTAAAATATATATTTATTTATAAATATATGTATTTATATATAAAGAAATATATATTTCCAAATATATAACTATATATTTTATTATATATTTATATACATAGGATATATTTACTAAGTACTTTAATCTGTTTAACTCTTAATTCTTGTAGAGCTATAATCATATGAGCCTGGTCCTGGAGTTTATTAACTATTGGCTATTTTTGACCTTTATGATTAACCTATTGTAAACAAAGATTTTTTAAATTTTTATTCTAAATCATATTATCCAGGTCCAGGATTGTTAGATTATGTATATGCTTTTTATGTATATTTTTGTCCTAAAGTAAAGTTTTTTCTATTTTCACTTATATTTTACTATAAATTAAATTCTCCAGGACCAGGTGTATCACTTCCTTTGTCTAATAAACGTTTACTTTTAGCAAATCTATATATATGTATATATTTTATATGTATAAATGTATTTTATTTACTAAAAATTAACTTCTTTTGGTTTATAGATATCTATATTATATTCTCCTGGACCTGGAGTTATTTTTTAATCAATTAATAATTTTTTAACAGTAGAAAGCCTTTTTTCTTTAATTTTGCATATTTCTTAATTAAAATATTATCCAGGACCAGGAGTTTAATTATTTTCATTTGTTAAAAGTTAAGGTTTATATTAAAATGAAAATTTTGGTGATGAGTATTAATATTATAAACCTTTTTTTATATCGTAACTAATTTGTTTTTTAATATGATTTAAAGTAAATATGTTAATATATATAAAACGTCCCTGGACCAATTAAAACATTATATTCTTTAGGTTTTTCGACAGGTTTTGAAATCGATATTTTTAAACCTTCACCCTTTGATAATTATAATCAGTAATATATATATATATATATATATATATATATATATATTATATATATATATATATATATTTATTTATATTTACTATAAATGATTTAAATTTATATGCTCCTGGAGGAGGATTATCATATTAATTAATAATATTTAATCTTTTTGATTTAGGTATTCTTTATTTAATATTATATTAATAATTTTTTTAAAATAAAAATTACTCCCATTCTGGTTGCTTAGATGTATTAATTGTAGATTAATTTGTTTTATAATATCCGGGACCAGGATTTTTATTGTTTTTGAAAATATTAGCTTATTTAAATTTTATTTATTATTTTATAATTTATTTTATAATAAATTTACGCCTTTATGATTTTCCTATAGAATATGCGCCTTAAAACGAAGCATTTACCGAGTTTGAAAATATTGACATAAATATATTTTTATTTATATTAAAAATAAAATAATAATATATATGCATATAAATAATTATAATGTTTTTTTTAATATTATAAAACAATTATTATTTTTAATCAACAATAAAATATTAAAATAAAGTAAATAATATATATATATATATATAATATAAACTGTTATTATAATAAAAATAAAATGTGTTTTTTTTATAATTTATAAATTTTATTCAATGAAATTCCTCATTTATATTAAAATAAAAATTCTTAATATTAAAAATTATATATATAAATATTTATATATATATATATATATATATATATATATATATTAACATTTTATATAAATAATTATTTATTATGCAATAATATTTCTTATACTTATATTAATTAAATTATTTTTATAATAATATATATTTTCATATTTTAAAATTTTTATGAATTATTAAAAATATATTTATTTTCTATAAAAAAAAATATTTAATAAATATTATATAATAATAATTATTTTTTTATTTAATTATATATATAATATATATATATATTAATATTTATTTTATTTCACATGAATATTCAATAAAAATTTGATTCTTTAGTCCGATAAAACCAAACTAAAAAAGCAGAACTCGATAATAATGGTTAATATTTTATCCGGACAGACTATATGCCTGATTTAGTTTAAAAAATCCACATAAGACACCCATATATGCCAACTTGTTATAATATTCATTAATCCGATAATACATAAGAACGCTAGTAATAAAATAGAGTACAAAATAGTTTAAGAAGGAAAAAAAACTAGGAAAAATTATTAGAGAAAAGTCAAAATATGTTAATTAATTTAACAAAATTTAACGAAAATTAATAAAATAATATCCGCAAAAACAATAAAATAATTCTACCAAAAAAGATCTTAAATGACATAGACTAAATAGACAGAGAAATCTAAAATTTCAATTCATAAAAAAAAGCTGTGGAAATCCAGAATTAAATAGAGCAAGTATAAGTCAAATTTAGTGAAAAACAGAGGCTTATTTAGAAAAAATCAATACTTTAAATATAAAAAAATCTTAAATTAATTAATTAATATAGTATAAATAACAATAATAAAACATTATAAAGTTTCGAAAAGAAAATAGATGATTACTAAAACAAAAAAATAGAAAATAATTGGCTTCATACCCTTTAATAAGAACAAATTAAAGGCAAAAATATACTTTAAAAAATGCATTAGGACCTTAAATTATCAATTTAAAATGGTTATTAAAAATTATTTGATAATTAATTAATTTAATAGCTAATATCGGTAAATTAAAATGTTTTGAAATTACTAAAAGTGATTTTTGGATAGGACTATTCCAAAAGACTTAGAATTTAAAATATATTATCATTTAAAGATATAGCAGATACTTATAAAAAGAAAATAAATTTTTAAAAATCATAAAAAACAAGCGTGAATATAGAAAATCTCGAAAAAAAAGACGATAAAATAACATAATCTTTAATTGTAAAATCTGATAATAAAATGACTGATAACTAATAATAAAAAAATACGGAAGATTAAACATAAATAAAATAATAAAAATTAAAATAACTCTAAAATTTAGAAAAAAAATTTTAAAAAGTAAATAAATAATATATTAAATAAATTATATTATTTTATAAATTTTTTATATATTATTTAAAATAAATAAAAAAATAAGATAATAAATATATAAAAAATAAATTTTTAAATGATATATATAATTATATATATATATATATATATATATTTATATTTACCTAAGGATGTATTAGAAAATATATCAGATTATTATTATAATCCTTTAAATGAGAATATTTAATATATTGATGAAGAATAAATTTTTAATAAATTATGTGAATAAATTTTTAGCTTTGCATCTAACGATGAAAAAAATTTAAAATTCCCTTTAATTAATAAAAAAGATCAAAATGATGAATTCTCTAAAAATTATTAAAGTTAAGGCAATTAATAGTATTCTACTGAATTTTATTAATATTTATATGATTATTAGAAAATAAAAATGATTGAAAATGAATCTTCAAAACCAGATAAAGAATAAAGAATTAAACAAATTTAAAATTAAATTGAAAAAATAGGCTTATTTAGGATTATTTTGAAGCCTAGTTAGACTATATTAATAAAATTACTCGCTTGAAAAAGCACTAAAATCATAATGTTCATTAAGATAATAAACAAAAGTATCATATAAAAAATTAAGATGATATTCTATTGCCTTTCGATTATCCAATATAGAAGGAAAATATAAAAATAAAAATGTAATTATCAAAAAGTTAACGATATTCCTGTGTCGAAAAGCTTAAAAATAACTTTAGTTTAAAGAAAACTGCTAATTAAGCTTATTTATAATATTACTAAGATGTTGTATAGGATATAGAAGATTAAAATAAGCTAAATTATATAAACTAATTATAAAAATTATAAAAAATTTGCAAAAAAGAGTCTTTTTAAAATAAAAAAATTCACAAATAAAATCTTATAAATAATTATAGAATAAAAAAAGATGCTAAAAAATCGAAAATAAAATCTTATAATTAAATTGAAAAAAAAAAAATATTTTTATTGAAAAAAAAAAAAAAATAATATTTTTGTTTAATACTATAAAAAATAATTACATACATATAAAAATTAAAATAAAAAATAATCATATAAATAATAACTATTTTTTTTTTTATGTAAAATTAAGATTTAATACAAGCATGTTCAAATATGATTTAAACAGTTTCTAATTAAATAGAATCTACTGTTTAAAGTTTTAATACAAAAGTATTTTTCTAATTAATCTTTTATTAATAATGTATTTTATATTTGTTAGATATTCGAAAATTTAATTTAAGATTATGTTAAATATGAAAAGGAAATATAAAGCTTTTCAGATGTAAACATTTTATCTTAAAAACAAATATTTAAATATTTTTATTAAAAAAATAATTTTTTTTTTTTTTTTTTTAATTATTTATAAAGAATTTAAATAAATCAATAATTAATGGAGAAAAAGTAAAATAAAGGTAAAACTAAAGCATAAAAATTATTTATATATAATAAATTATAATTATTTTTTAAAATAAGTTTTATTGAAGTTAATTAAAAGCTTAAAAAATGATGTTTTATCAAAACAAAACAAAATTAATTTAAACTTATATTATATAAAAAATAAATATATTTAGTTTTTTCATTTTTTTTTATAAATATACTTATATTATTATTTGATTATATTATATTATATTCTTTTTTCTTTTTTTTCAATTTTTTCTGTAATATATTTCAAAATTATATTCTGGGACATATTCCTATATAACTAAGAATACATTTAAAGAACTTAAAATTTAAAATTTAAATAAGTTTAACTAATTAAATATATATAACCTTCAATAGAATATTTATAAAAAATATAAAATATATATAATAAATAAATAATATATGAATATCTTAAGTTTCTGGGACTTTATTTGGATAAATTGATTGATTTTTTCTTGTAATTAAATTTAAAAACTTAATAAAATAAAAAAATTCATATAAACAATGCTATAATAGTTATATTTGTTATTGCTAATTTAGTTTTAAATAATAAATACAGAAAAAAATAAGTTATACATAATATAATAATTATTATAGAAAATAAATTAATATAATATCAATCTAAATTAGTATATTAAATAAAATCATAATTAGAATCATCTTGTAAATTATTTATCCATGGACTAAATTAAACATAATCGTTATTTTTGAAATGAGTTTAACACGACTATTCACAATGTTTAGTTTCTATTTTGTGTTCACTTTTAGATGAAAAGTATTTATTCATTTCGGTTTTGAATCTTTGTCTAAAGTTATCTAATTTTAAAAATTATTTAGACTATAGATATTCTTTTGGATTTAAAGAATAAGATTAAATAGGTAATTATTTAATTTTAATAATTTTTTTTTAGTCTATATTTTTGATTTGTTCTAATATTTAAAATTTATCCCCTAAAAGCTTCTTTTTTTTTAAACTAAAGACTTCTTAAATTTATGATTTTTTTATTTTATTATATTTTTCTTAAAATTTCTTTTCTTTCTCCTATAAAAATTTACCTTTTTAAAAATTATCTTCTATAAAGCTAAAACCCTTTGTTCTTTCCTTTATTTTATCATTTTTTAATTTAATAACGATATTACTATCACTTTTAAAATTAAAATGATCAACATATCCTTTTATATATAAAAAATCCTATTAATTTTCTTAATTACTATTTCCTAATATTCTCTCACTTTAACATTTTGTTTCTTATAAACTTTATTTTTCACTTTAAGTAAATTTTACTTTTTCTTATCTTTATTACATAAAAGGGATAAATTTTGTTTAAATTTATTTATATATATATTTTTTAGTTTTCTATTATGATTTGCATAAAGCTCTCTAAAAATATACATTATCAATTTTTTATTCTGAATTTTTTTTATTATTTGTCATTTAATTAAAAATATATTTTTCAATACATGGCATTTATTATAATTAATTTTATTTTTCATTTTTCATTTACTTTTTTGAAAATGTTTATGTATATTGCTTTTATTCTTGATTTTTAATAAATGCATTATATTTTACATTTTATACTATTTTTTGGTTTTTCAGAATTTAATTTGGTTCTTTATAATTTTTTCTTAATTTTAATTAAAAGTTAGACTTTTTTATTTACTATTTATATTTCTAGGTAAAATAATTTTTTAAATGAGCATTAACCGTATAAATATAATCAAGAAAAAATATATATAAATATATTAAGTAATTTTAATAAAAATAGCTTTTTTTTATTATTTTATAATATATATATAATTTTTTTAAATAATTTTAAATTTATAGACAGTTTGCTTTA